CCAAAAAACATCCTATGCTAGAGACTCTATGCATGGAAAGGTGGTTTACATCAATGTATTCGGAGACTCTAGGTGTAGTGTGGCAGAGCTTCTGCTTGAACTTGATGTCACTGCTTATGCTGGTGTCTCTCATAGGTGGTTGTTAAACCATCTGTCAAATGGATGATTTCCAAATCAGGATACAGTAGTAGTAATACTCTGTGCTAGGGACTTTTGACGTGGTGATGTAGATAACTTTTGCTGGAATCTTTTTACACCACTGAATTTGTTGCCACTTGGGGGTGTTAGAATAATGACCCACAGCAATCCAAGAGTTTTAGTTGCCAGTATATTGGTCAGATTCTCATAGTAAGTGAACAACAATATCTAATTATGCAGACAAAGATGTCAAAGGAAGTAAAATTAAAGTCGACACGTACAGCCTTTTGCACGGTGTAATACAAAAGTGTTTATTGTACTAAATTATCACTTTAGCCACTGCCTCTGCACAGGTCTCGTCAAGCAAAATCTTGGCATAGGTTTGTATCATGTGATCTGGACGGATGATTGCAAGACGCTGCGCAGCCCTTTTTACATATTAGAAACAACTTTTTTACTTGCGATGTTTGGTAGAAACTAGTAGTTGCCACCTAGTGGGCAGTAGGTGGTACTATTAGGCACTAAGTTTCGAATTCCGAGCCACGCGTGATATTTAAAAATCAAATTCATGAAAAACGATTGAATTTGAGGAGTAATAATTATTTTTAATATCAATAATTATTAAAACCATACCTTGAATGGTAAAAAACCCCTCAAATTTGTGAAGCAGTTGCTGAGCTTCATGAGTCGAAGAAGTTATGCTCTTGATACAAATGTTTGTGATCATTCATTCATTCATTCTTAATTGACAAAGGTCTGCGGTTTTTAACATACTCACACTCATACTACTCGATTGAGTGTCTTTTCACCGTATACATATTTTCACTCCACTTCACTGTAGTTTTGTGGTCGTATTTCGTAGCGTTTAGATGGCCCATTGGAACCACCGGGGGGCTGTGCTAAGACTTTACCTAATTTTTCTGAATTGTTTCAGAATGCTAATTATTTCAGGTAGAGTAACGTCAGTCGTATGTCGAAGCAGGTATTCAAGCAGGGATAGTAGTCAGTCTCCTCTATGCGGACTAGCATGTGTGTGGGGTCAAGTGCCATCAGGCATCTCTCATCAGAGTTGGTTGACATGAGCGGGTCGAGGCTTGAGCAAGTTTTTTGAAGTATGACAATGCCATCTATTAAATCTCTGCTTCTTAAGTAAAGCAGTTGTAATTCAAAGTAGATGGGCTCGAGGTACTTCAGTAGCAATGTAGTCAGTGGTTTCTACGGAGGCTAAAAATACCTGTTCTCATTATCTTCAGAGGCTCGTTGTGAGCTGCAAGAACCTGCTGTGAAACTGGTGCTAACGAGTTTCAAAGTAAGTTGGTCCTTTAGGTCCACATGTATCTCATGCTTAAAAATAAATTTTAAAGATAAAATGTGTCAAACACCACTAGCTGTTTCTCCTCACTTAAAGGAAGTGTTGTTGATCAGTTGCAGATCAGGTGCAGGTCAGTCAGCGTTAACAATAAACTCTGAGGCTCGTATATACCTTCCTGCAGCAGTAGATAGTTCTATACAAAAAACCCAACGTCAAGCGCCAAATTGTAAAGAGCGGCCGTTTGAGGAGTAGGTGGTTTTAAATAGAGCGGAAGAGTTGAGGGTGGCTGGAGTCGGTTTCAAGAATATCGATCAGCGGTCAATATCAAGCAGCAACAAGTACCCTGTGCTAAGATCTCTATTCGTGGAAAGGTGGTGCACATCACCGTGTTTGCAGACCCTATGCAGAGTGTGGCAGCAGGGCTCTCGAAAGTGGCAGATGATCTGGCGCAAAATTTTAAAAATATTAAAATTGAGTCTCAATCAATGACAAATAATCAACTGTAGCTTATTAAAATTCGTAATTAACTTAAATGAACATTTTAATCATAATATAATAATCTGAAAGTAACAATTTAAGTAATTGTTATTAAGGTGAATGTTGATCAGTATAACAGAGATTTTCCAGTATTCCAATTAATTTCGTAGTTTTTAATTGTAATATGATAATAAGAAACTGTTATAGATAATTTAAATTATCATTAAAATACTTTTTATTCGATAGTTATGATGATACGGTACTTATTTTATGATGTTAGCAGCGAGGTGTTTGGCAGTATATCTATATGTCAAAGCCCATTGATTTCTGACTCGAAAGTTGGTAGCATTTCTCGTGGTCAAGCATACCGTGATTAATGTATGGTAGTACTAAGTGGAATTCAACCTTTAATGTGTTTACATCGTCGAATTCGTCGGCAACTTGTCATTAAAACAGAATGTTTTAATTTTTTGTTTTTATTAAAACAAGGGTTGAGTTGACGAAAACAACAGCATCGACAAGTACGGGTGCAACGTTAATGATGTCTCGTTCAGTTAGCTGTAAATTAACCTATAAATCAGATAAGTATAGAAAGTATTTTAATAACAAAACTCTGTCGTGAATTGAATAAACAGTCTAGTACTGTCTATTAGTATAAGTATCTAAACCTCTTCAAGTACCTAATCAAAAAACTGATGGAATTTATACACGTTGCTGTTGAATCATTTCATTAAATTTATGAATGCTCAGTTTTTCCCTTAAAGCGTTTATTTATAAGTATGTTTACTTTGTGCTAAATAATAATTTCAGAAGGATTAGATGTCTAGTGGATCAAGGCTTGATGACATTTCCTCATTACATCAATAACAACTGAAAGGGGAACTTGTAGTACAGTGAATTTTGTTTAAGTATAACTCATTTTTCATTTTCAGTTTTTTATAATTTATTAGTATAGAAGCTTCCATAACGTATATTTTCCTTTTTGCATAAATTGCCAACTCATGCAAGGGATTTTTATTTCTAGTTGGCGTACACTTAGTTAGTAGCTATGATTCCATTATAAATGACTGTCACACAATCTTTTTTTTTCTTAACAGTTGTAGATCTTACTTTGCAACCCTTTTCATCATGCATCTTCGTTGAAAGCCCATTGAGTGTGCCATACCAAAACAGTGACCAAAAAAATTTAAGGACCTACTCAATAACATTACATGAACAGATTTTAACACCATGATGACAACAATGGTATTTTCATATAATAATAAACGTGGTATTAGTATATAATAACATAAACTATGTATGACTGTATAGGTAAGCAAGACAATGAACTCCCATTTGACTATCCTCACACTCATGTCAACTTTTCAGGACACATCAACTTTGGCACAACTGAAAGGTATGGCTGAGTGCAGTGATGACAACTATGGTATTTATATTTTACAATAAATAAGGTTTGAGTATACAGCATTATTCATGTACGACTCTAGGTAAACAGTACACTATGTCCTTTGGTTCCACTATCCGTACACTCATAACAACTTTTTTAGGACTTATATCAACTGCAGCACAACTTGCGGGTCATGTTAGCCCAGTGGTAGGATAAAGACAGGATCCAAACCAAGAAAAGGTATGGCTGGTGATGGACAACGCCCTCGACGGTTTTTCCAGTGAGATGTTTGAGAAAAAATACGACAAACTGGCACTGTTCCTAAAACCCATGTATTGTCAGTGTCCAATGCAAACTCACTCCTGGTATAACATTGAAGCCTATCCTTACCCATTTAACAAAAGGAATCTAAAAAGTTTGAAGAACTTGCTTCGAAGGATTCACATGGGAGTAACAGGGGGACAGCGAGCCAACACAAATTCACCTTCTTAAGGACGACTCAGTTAAAATATACAGTAAGAACTAAGAAGATACACGAGCAAGTATCCTGTCATCATCAAGCTAATACCAAACACACAAAGTGATGAAATAGGAACTGTAATCTTAACTGCACATCTATTGCTTAGGACAAAGAGAAGAAACAAATCCTTCCATTCCAAGTGCTGAGAACACCTTTAAATAAGTCGATGGTGTGAAGATTTAATGATCATGACTCTAGAAAAGGAGGCTGCACATGAGATAGTCAACCGCTCGCGTGGCTAAAAATAAAAAAAAGAGTACCTCGAAGGTGTTGGAGATATCTTAAATCTCGTGGTAGTAGGTGGTTACATAGGCAAAAGGAATCGTACCTGTACCCACAGCGACTTTCTACTGGCTTCGTACTAGGAGAACGAAGAGTACCAGAGCATATGCAAGATCGGTACTGGCTTCAGCGAAGAAGACTTGGCTAAGCATACAGAGGCTTTCAAAGAGTGTGTCATCGAGCAGGCAAAATCTTATTACCACTCTGACTAGTTTCAAACCTGATCATTAGTTTGAAGCAAAGCTCATCGAGGAGGTCTAATGCATTGATCCATCGCTCTCACCTATTCATGGAGCGGCGAGAAGCATAGTTGATCCCGAAAAAGGCATATCGCTGCGTTTCCCGAGATTAATTTATTCGTGTTAGATACGATAATAATTGTGACAATGCTACCAACGCTCAACAGATTTCTGATATGTACTTGAACCATGATCAGATCAAGAGTTAAACATCGTCATCAACAGCTGCAACAGCCGAAATAACGATGTTACCAGAACATTCTTTTTAATTTAATTTTCTTACACTTACATAAATGAATTGATATTATAAATTTATTGTAATTATAAAATTATAAAATATTGGTCCTTATACTTAAATATTGTATGATACCTACAAATTGTAAAGTCATAAAAATGAAAAGACTTTCTATTTACAGTATTTTTGTAGTCGTTAAAAAAGTATATGTATTAGGGTTACAAAACATACAATAATTTTACAGTATTCACATCTAGTAATCAGTAAAAAAAATTTCTGATCTATAACTTACAAAATACTGTTATATGTAATTACTACTGCAATTAATAACTTGATTTATATAACACTTACACTCTATAGTGTTACAATTTATTAAGTTACAGAAATATTTTTCTTCATTTGATGAATGTCTACAAACTTGCTGAAAGGTTCAAAAATTTTGAAGCCTTTTCGAGTATAAGGCTCTCAATGGTACGTCTTTTTCTCATAATAGTTCTATCATCGAACCAATCGTGTAAGTAAGGAATCGCGTCTAAAGTCGTTTTTGTATCCTGTAAATAAATTTTTACTGTAAATGAAGATATTATCCGTTATATTTTCATACTTCAATATCAATGAAAGAAGATTACTTTAAAGAAATTCTCTACGTATTGTAGCATGTACAAGCCGCAGTCACTGCTGTTCTTCTGTTGTGGCACGTCCACATAGATCACTTGTAATGCATTTTGGTTAAATGTGTCAGTTCTGCATTGTTTTTTGAACTCCGATTTTATAAAATTGATAATTGTTTCTTCAACGTATCCCGTTCCTAATTTTGAAATTGAGTTGAAGATGAGTAAGCTGGGGCTGAAAGATCAACAATAAAACATTGTTTTTTGATACATAAATTTGATCTAGATGTATTATCTGTCTATGTTATCCTCCCCTCTTTAAGATAAATTACTTAAGAATAACAAGTTAAAATATACTTAGAATATATCATTGAGGTGATGATTTACTAGCTTTTTTCTGAAAGATCAAAATTAAAATAATAAATAATATCCGTAGTAGCACAACGTAAGTTAGGAGAAGCAGACGTGCATGGATCTGCTTCTCAAAGCTTACGATGTGCTACTAGGTATATGATTTACATATTTAGTAGTTTGAAAAAATATGTAATACGATAAGAAATATTTGCATGAGATATTTAAATATAATCATTGCGAAAAATTTGTTTGACCTACAACTTACTAAATTACTCATTTAAATTTATTTTTCTCCTCACATGTATTATGAATTTTTTTTACTGTCATTAATAAACTAACGGTTACTTATGAAACAGTTCCGTGTATCACAAAGATATGAAGAAAAATGCGGTTCGGATATTTTAGGTTTTATATTAAAATCATGAGCGGCATACTTAATTAATTTGTTCGTCTTCTCTAATTTTCGACGCTTTGGTTCTTCACAATTTTTTATATCTGCCGATTTACATTCGAGTAAATTTAAAAAACAAATGATGACCACAAACCAATGCGAGCTAAAATATAAATAAACTTTTTTTAAGTGTCTTTTCTGAAGTACATATATTTTCTGTAATGTACATCTCCTTACCTCTCGTTAATGGGGAAAATTATGAATTCTTTTTTAAATATGTTTAAATTAAATTTTTTTCCCAGACTATACTTTCCCTCGTTTTTTCTTAAATCATTATAAAAAAAAGAATCAAAGATAGACGTATTTACTCTATCCTTCTTTTTCATAACTTCATGACTTATATATTTTAAATAAAAGTTAATGATAACGTCATTTAAATAACAGCTTTCTCGCAGGCAATCAATATTTGCACCGTATACAGATAATCCTCCTTTGCCAGATGGATATATCAATATTCTGAGTTAAATAACTAACGTGAACCATTTTAAAACATTCGTGTGATAATTTTCATTTTTTTCGTAGTAACTTACGCCTTGTTTAAATAGTCCCTCAATACTATTTGTTTTATGGCAGATATTCTTTCTTCACTTAAGCTTATACTTATGGGCTCTTCTGTAGATGGTTGTTTCCTTTTTTTCGGCCTTGATTGATATCCATGATTCTTTTGATATCATAGAAACAGCAAGTATACACACAAATATTACATTATTGAGGATATGCTGTTCATTTCACAAAAACTGCGTTATTTCATAAATTCTAAACTCTGTTTAAAGATAAAGCTTTAAATTCTTTCAAGCAAGTGCTTCTATGAAAACAATGTGAATTAATTTTCCCTTAATACATTTTCGATACGAAGTCGTAAGGGTTATTGCCTGGCCGTCTGATTCAAAGTTATAAAAAAGTTTATGTCACTCGTAAAAGCATTTAATTTTTGTGAAATAATCCATACATGATTCAAATTCTTCCAAATTATATAGCGTAATTAAATTCCAGAGTATAGGTAATAAAGTGATTAAAAAATTTTCATCCGTACCTGCATTGGTTTTGTAGCTTTTAAACTTTTTGTATGTTTCTGTCCTATTTCTGTCATATTCATACAGTTATTGCGTTTCGATGATTCGATCGATGAAGTTAATGATGTGTTTGATGATGTTGAAATATTTGAAAAACTTTCAGATGAGGGTATTGATCTAAATGTCCCGGAAAATTTGAATCAACATTAACAAACATGATAGTATAAAATAATTAATTCTAAATTGTTTCATTTGTTTTGAGAAATACATACGAAATATCGAGGCAAAAACTGTGTACCGACTCGGAATCTTTGTTTTCATCTAAAATAACAGTAAATAAATGTACATATTACTTCTTTATAGTACGATATATTTTTCAAAAAATAATGCTCGATGTTTCTTTTGTACTGGCAAGGTACGAGTGTATCAGTTTATCATTTTCACTATCCAATCGCTGAGTTGCGAAAATTCAAGATTGATAATAGACTTTTCTAATTACATTTCAAAACAGTCTAGAGTAACCATCTATAAGTTTTGCTATTATGATTCAACTACGAACAATTAATAAAAATTTAGTAATGTTGCGTTGTTACATTTGAAAACTGAAATACGTATGTAGCAAACCCGAAGGCCTTTTTTTTATTAATTTGGTTGAATGCATATTTCCTACTAAAAGTGGAGCACACAAAAAAACCATGACGGATGAAACTAACAATATGACAGACAGAAAATTGGATGTTTTTACACACCCGTTTCCGTACCAGGTAAGTTTAGTAACTTTTTTTTACGTTTTTTCTTTATTTAAATAATTTATTGTTGCATACGTACGTTTGTCTGATATTTCTAAAAACTCTATTTCTGATAATTGTTCATAAGTTTTTACTTCCATAGTAATTACTTTGCTGTACCATTTTAATTGTCTTTGATATGACATGCTCAAACAATCCATCGTTGGATACGACCGTATATCACCATTTTCACATTCATTATTAACACTTGCGTCTATTTTGTTTATCCACTGTTGGGCATACTCTTCTTTATCAATTTCCTCATTAGGCAACTGCAGGGAGCGTCATACCAATATAATTACTGTATTCGTCGTTACTGATTGAATAAAATCAGTTTAATTTAAAAATAAGTCTAAATAAAAAAGCTGACTGCCAAGTCGAGCAAATAACAGAATGAGTCTCTACACGAGTCGAATTATAACAAATGTGTAATGCAAATA